CTTCCATACGCTTGCTACACAGCTAGTAAGTGTTAGGCTCTTAAGCCACCTTAAGGGATCAGGGGGATCAGGGCAGCACGTTCCACGTGACCGTTCCTTTTTTAGTCTTTTGATCTCTTGTCCAGCGGTGCTGTGACATTAAAAACAATCTGACAATTTTCTGCGCCCCTGCTTAGTGTCCAACACTAGTGGCCACATATTTGCAGCGCAAGCAGTTTCAGCCGTAGCGCACGGCTTTTTTGACACACATTCCAACCTGACTTCTACCAGGCGTGAGCCTCAACAAGACACTGAGCAGCCCAAGGCAGCAAAGCACAAGGCCATCAAGGCAGAAGATCTAGACGCTCACTACCAACAAGGAGCACAGAAGGCTCCTCACCTTAGCATCACTAGGCGCATCATCTACAGACAGGCAGTGTGCAGCAGCCAGGATGGTGGACACTACACACATCATCAAACGAGGCATCATCCGATACCCTCGTGATCGCACCCCACCGCTCGAACGCTACAAGCCCAGAAAAGGACGCCTCATCACTGGTGGTCGTAAGCCAGCACCACCTGCAGAACTCATCACTAGCAACGCAGTCCCTCCCACCATCATCACTCCACAGCCAGTGCGACCCATTCCTAACTTCACCAAGGTCAGCACAGCGGCACGCCCCATTCGTCCTCTCCCATCCAGAGTCAGACTGACTCTACACATCGAGACCCTCAAGAAGCAGGTCAATGCCACTCACTTCAGGCTGCAACCCTTACTAGGAGCCTATTGGGAACGACTCGACAAAGACCGTCGAAAACAGCTCCAGCTCATTTCCTGCGAGCTCGACAAGGTCTGCGCTGACCTCTACACCGGCACTCGAGAATACACATTCATCGAGAAACAAGTCGTCAACACGGTCTGCCTGGAACTAGGAAGGGTTAGCTTCAAACAGCTGGGCAAACAGGAGAGATTAGACGAGATCATCAGGGAAATATACGATATCCAGAAGAAGGGATATCTTAGCTTTTTGTTTTTAAAAAAAAAACACATATATACGCAATGTCCGATACTAGTCGCGCACACATGTCCACATTCAGACAGAGAATAGAGGACGTACTCTGACCAAATATCGAGACAGCACATGATGGAAGCACCCCTCGTGCCTCCAGACCACCATTACCTGGGCTCGAACCCCGGGACTCCACATCACAGGTTGGAGGACTGTCGTCCCCAACTCCCTCACTCCTCCCCGCCTACATACCTCCCACATGGTCATACGACAGACACCAATATGAGCGTCTTGAGGACGCCATCAGACAGTCCGCACCTGGCAAAGTACCCGACAATATTCGCGAATGGGTAATCATCGTCATGAAGTCCATGGTCGACAATGAGCTCAAAAAGATGTACAATGTGCTCAGTGACAAAATGTA